CAGAGGTAACAGTTAAAGGATTCCGAATATATGGTGCCCCGTGGTAAGTCTCAATTTCAACTTTCTTTGCTGTTTATTACTCGAACCGCAGCAGGAACCCCGTTCCTGTTGAACGTGCATGAAGCTGCTTTGTTGCATTGCCCTGCAGAACTGTATCAGTAAACCACCCTGAAATAGTTGCCCCCCCCCCTTTTTTTAAATTTTTTTTCTTTTTTTTGTGTGTGTGTGTGTATAAATAAATCTCTATTTTGTGACTGTTTCTACCTGCTGAAGGGGGACTCCATACCCGCTCTGTGCTTGTGGATTAACTGTGCGGTGGCATCTTAGGGGAGCTCCATTACATCGTGTGCTGTTGGGGTATTTATGTCTGCTGTGCTAATGGATTAACACCCACACAGCACAGGGTACAAGGCAGCAGGTGCTTTGAGCCCTATTTTTGATCGGTTCCAGGCATTGTTTGCTTTTGCTTGCAAAGCTGTGCTAACAAAATTTCGAGCCAGTTTTGGTGTCATTGCAACCAGTGCAGGAAAAATCGCTGCCCCGTTTTGTACTAAGGAGATTCTCCCTTGGTTTTGTTTTTCTACATGCCATTTAACTGTGATGCCTGAAATCTTTCTGTGGAGTCTTGGGTAGCACTCGTTTAAAATTCTCATGCTAACAACAGCCACAGTCCTTTCAGGCTTTACCAGAAACCTGAACTTGAGTGATGGTGATAATCATTCTGCTGCTTGGCATTCTGAATTGTCAGCTGAAGCCCTGAGATGCTAATTTATGCACACCTATAAGAAGGGTTTATTATAAGCTTATAACTTATTTTTGATGTCAGGCTTGCTTTAGAGGTGAAAGCTGGAGAGGAAGGAGGAATGACAGGAGTTGAACCAAGAAATGGGGCAAACCTGTACACATATTAGAAATTTTCCCCTTCATTTCATCTTTGTTGTCTTGGCCCACAGATTCATGTAAAACACCACACACATTGATGCTTCTGACAGTGATTTTCTCTGGTCGTATTGTGTGCATTAGTGCTGGCTAGAAAACTGATCTAGCTCTGTATCATCTCACATTCTTCACTTGAGCTACTAATTTTTTAATTTAAGTCATAGCCTTTAGCTAGTAGTTTAAATCAGCCTGACACGGGTTAGCTAAAAAAAAAAAGGAGAAAAAAAAAAAAAAAGTAATGCTCTAAATCCTGCATTATCAGCAAATTGGGAAAGATGATCTTAATGCAGGTTATGAATCATCTCCTCAAGACATTTTGAAGTAATTTTTTTTTTTTTTGGAGGGGTAATATCTGCACAGAAGGCAGGGCACAGAAGGCCTTGGGTAGAGTGAGGTGGATTTGAGGTTCGCTGCAAGGTAAGGAGCTGGGGAGGGTTAGCTGCGAAGATCAGAGAGCGTTCAGCTTCTTTTGTATGTACGTCCCAGACTCAGAGGGCTTCTGCAGCCATCCAGTGATTAGGAAGCGTAGGCATCTTTTGAAACTTATTTGGGTCAGATTTACCTGAACTCAGCTTATTTACAGCACTGCTGGAGAGATCTGGAGGATGTTGAATCCGAGCCTGGGGAAGAGAGAGTTTGGTATTCTGAGGCGGAGACCTGTGTGATGTGCCCTTACATTTACATTTATTTGTACTGGCGATATGCAGCGTTCTTTTTTTGTCCTCTTTGGCTTCCCAAACCCACCATGGAAATCTGTTACCCTTTTGTCTCCAGCTGCATTCAGAAGTTTCTTTCAATCTGCAGGTGTACACACGGATTTAGAGCGTTTGTTCTGCAATATTAAGGGACATCACATCAAGGTACTGAGTTGTCTCAGCCATAAAGAGTGAATGGCACATGTATTCTGACCTAGTCATGGAAGACAAACCTGAATTATTCTCTCCTATAATCCGTTGATGACTGGATTTTTCCGATTAGTGATGCATGGCAAATGGA